TGGTCACCATCAGCTTGTACAACTGAAAGAAACAAAAATATATTTTGAAATGCTTTCGTACAGCTTACGTAAACTTTAGTTGGGGTGTAACTCTTTTCGTAATCAAGAACAGCTACTTTTCTAATTTTGCCATCTGTTTGCTTCCTAAAAGTTTGTTTCAAGTTTAATTTTTGCAAAAAAATCGTACGTATAAGTTTCAGAAACGAATGAAAGTGTGTCAGGCTTAGACTTGGAATTTCCTCGAGACATTGCTTGAGCCAATGAATGAACGAAAAAGTTTATTTTAGGAAAAGCTGATTTCAGAGATTCCTGTAAATCATATATCACGTGACTTGGAAGCATTTCACTTACATTAATCATTTTAGTAAATTGAATTGTTGCATCCGTACTGCTGATGTCTAACAACAAATTGTTTTCTACGAAACGTAAACTGTCCAAGTTGATTCCTGGAATATCAGAGCATGCCATCTGAAATAAACAGATCACGTATTCCCTAAGCGTTCATGTCTCCACTTACCAATTTTAAGATAGTTATAAGATCGATATAGCGTCCTCTGAGTAGGTTAAATGCTTCACAGCAGTAATCAATGAAGTTTTGGAAGCGCTCTCCTTGTGCAGCTCCCCCGTTTATCACATAACACATTTCTGTTGTGAAGACGAAAGGCACGCGATCTCTTAAAAAGCTCAGAGATTATATATTCTTTGCTATCAATTTTCTACCTTCTTATTCCGGCAGCTTTTTGCCAATCACCCATGTACTTTCCAAAATCAATATGGAAGACATGTCCTGACTTTGTAACCATAATATTTTCATTGTGACGGTCACCTATTCCCAATATGTATGTTGCAACACACCAGCCAGCACAAGATCGAGTGAAGTTGTCCATAGCCTGCATCAAACAACATATATACAAGACAAGTATGTAATCTAACTATTTCATAATCATATTCACTAGGATTGTTTTTTTGAATCCAGGTTAAAACGGAATCATCCTTAAATACTCCTTTACAACCGGATTGGATACTATGCAGCGTTTCACAATTTCGAACAATTTGAATAAGACCTCAAAAAGACATATATAGATGGAACAATTATGTTACATCGTATACTCACCCCTTCTTATACCAACTGGTATACATTTATATGTTATTATCCTAAGATCTAATCCATCCTCAAACCATATATCACTCATTATTTGCATGAGCTGCATAACTATAGCGTCTTGTCGAATATCATCTCCCATCTGAACAATTGCTTTTTCATACCACAATCACTTGTAACTTACTTTATGTAGAACATCATAGTAACATCCGCCACCAAGAAAACGAATTTTCAGAGGTTTATTGAAACTAGGTAGTACTTTACAATTAGCTATCTAAAGTATGCACATGAGTTGAATCAAGCAATGAACAAAACATACATCTATTCCTTCACACTTGAATGATGGATCTAGTGGCAAACTGATGACGCTGCCTTTCTCATCAGAGAGTGCTTCGTTCAACTTGGACATTTCTCTTCTCAAAATCATTTCCTTCAAGAAAAAAAAGGTTAAATAACGAAACGATAGCCTATAACTCACTCTTGCTTGATCGGATGACTCGCTCACTTTTTTTTGAACGTAGAAAAGGAAATCAATAATTTCACATTGTTGAACAAAGGAACTTGGACTAGAATCGTGTTGTTAGAAATAAACTTTCTTGACGACTTACGTAGATAGTTTGTTGAGAATGACTTCACACCTGTTGCAGAAAGCATAGTTGCCTCCGTGATCAACACGACATTTGAGTTGCCACATAATCTCCTCTTTAAACCTCAAATCAGTCGTTCCTAACTTGACAAGTAGATATGAAACAGCATTGTTATCATATGTCTCATATCGCAGTGTTTCAACAAGAACTGGCAAAACTTTGAACAATGAATCACTTGATGCTGAGCAAATCCATTTGCAAGCCTTTTCTCGAACATAAGCATTGGGGAAACTAAAAATCTCAGTTAAGTGAAGAAATGAAGAAAACAGTACTATGGCAGAAGCAATTGGAAAGCTTGAATGTAGTTTAACTCGGTCCATACATCTATCATGTCTTGCACATGATGAAGAAAACCATAACTCCACTCAGGCACACAAGCTAATACTAGAGGTAAGGCTTCAGGTAAATGAGTGAGAAACATTCTCTTAGCCCAAAGAGTCTCTCTGTAGCTAGCTTCTTCACTGAAACTTCATAGCTAAAGTTAGAAATCTGTTCAACTCATCCATACTCATAACGCCGTTGACCACTTTCCATTAACTGAACTATATTACATTTCTCAATAAGATCTAACAGCTCGTGTTGTTCGTTAGATGGAAGAGACGAGAATTCACGAGGTTCGCTGTAAACAAAACTAGTTTCTGAGACGGTTTGGTTTGAAGAAAACATACAAAGTTCCTCGATGAACTTCAGGAAACATCACAGGCTTTTCATAAAAAGGGAAAGTTACGGCAAGAATTGGAGCAGAAGGGGAGCAAACGTATGAGTAAGGACCCCATGGCCTCATCTGCTTATCTCGAACATCAGTCAGTTCGACGAACCACTGTCCTTCTCTCATAAAACTAAATACTAATCATGTTAATGTGAATAAAATTGATCCAACGAATTGTGTTTGAATAGAGGTATAGTTGCGTATCCTAAACAACAACAAGAACTAGAAGCTGCTTGGCTTATAGGATATCCAATAAGAAGGAACACATATTTTATCTCTTGAGGGGTGCGATCCATGGATAAATTGAAATCAATCTTAAACACATTAATGTTTGAACTTAATACTGATAATTAACATACGGAGTTTTCAAATACAATATGTGGGAAACAGCCATTTCTGTCTAATGTTTTGTAGGATGTGCCTTGTTTCCGTTCGATTAAACGAGTTCCAAAGTATAACTGAACTTCGACTGAGAAAGTTGAATAATTACTGTAAAAAAACAAATAAGACAACATAATAGATAGTATGACTGACTTATGGAAGCGATTAGGTAGGTTATGAACGGAATTAATCATAACTCGTAGCCTGTCCCGCATAGACAAGGTCGATTCGGGTTGATGAGATCTACTCTGAAAAAAAAATGTTATGTTTCTTGTAACAAGAGATGTCCTAACTCTTATAAAGTATTGGTCAAGACAAGGTGCGAAGTTGCACAGAGATGAATCGCAGAATATTTGAAATTTAATCATTAATAAAGCTAAATATTGAAAAGCCAATGCTTGACACTCTTTCTGAAATAATATTTGAATGGAAAAAGTTTGGGAAAACTAAACAAACTTCTGTTTTTGAATTAAGTAACGTGTCTAGAAGGGTTTCTGTTGGCTCGTAGAAGTGCAGGTACTTACAAAGGTTCTCAACGCATGCACGAATAGAATGCTCGCTTACGGCACTTCCTTAATAAAATATGTAAAAAGAGATCTTACTCAAGTAATATACGAGGTACTACAGAATGATCACCGGCTCTTGTTTCCAAGCACTCGACTAGATCATAGAATAAGGTTTCCAGAGGATGACGTGTTGATAGCTTTCCAACGGGAGTTTTCAGATAAACAGCTCCATTAGCAAGTACTTCGTCATCTATTTCTTCATCAATTCTTATTGTATCAAGGAATAAATATTTTTCACGAGGTCTTATATGGACGTTTCGTCCGATCTATAAAAAGCGAACAATG